CTTTTGGTGGTAGTTAGGTTTTTATTATTGCACATACTTGATACCTGTCAAAAGCATAAGTGAACTTGGGCTAGCCCAAATTCAGCATGTTGATGAAAAGGAAAGATACGTTTCGAAGGAAGAATCCAAGGATAAGGAAAAACGGTTACACGACTATGTTAAACTAACAATTTGACCAGTAACAACAACACTATTGAAAAGATCGATCATACAAATGAGGAAATATTTAGATATGCTGCCCACTGTTTTAGATAACATAATAGTTTAAGAAAAAAAATACGTATTGGAGCTCAATTTTAGAAATTATTAAGTTAAACTCAAAGATTGATGCTGGTATTACTATTATATATGAAGCATATATCAAGGTGCTACCCTTCAGTTTATTGATACCAAACTGACATTTCAGTTGCATATTTAAGAGTTTGAAAGACAAATCCACAAGACAAAGATTTCATTGAAAGCACGAGTTCTACTTAGTCATCCATCTGCTCTATTTCTAAAGCAACAGAGCTACATAGGGGTGCTGTTGACTCGTCAGAAGAACTACTATTGCTGCTTCTTTGCATGGATATGGGTGATTCCGGAGGGTAAAACAACGGCTTAGGAGGCAACTTTAGGCCACTAGAATCACCTTCAAGCATTTCTAAGACTTCTCTCATTGAAGGACGTCCTCAGGTGTCATCTGTATGCACCACAAAGCAATCAAAATCAATTTTCTTGTAAACATCTTTTCTTCTTCAATTGCATGATCTCCGATTTCCATTTCCTCCACCTGATCGAATTTGTCATATATCCATGAAGGGAAGTATATTTGACTAGAATGCTCAGCATGCGCATCCACATTTCTCCTCCTTCCTGCCATCTCCATTAGTAACTTTCCGTAGCTGTAAACGTCTGTCTTATGCGAGACTCTTCCAATCTTTTTATAGAACAACTCTGGGGCCATGTAACCTAAAGTTACTCTCACAGCAGTAAGAGTTGCAATACTCTTTTGCATCGGGTAAAGTTTTGCAAGTCCAAAGTCGGAAACTTTTGGAACAAAATTCTCATCAAGTAAGACGTTATGCGGTTTAATATCAAAATGCAGAATTTGCATATCACACCCCTGATGCAAGTACTCAATCCCACGAGCAACCCCCTTTACAATCTTGCAAACTTGCTTCCAACTTAATAGAGAACCATTCTGACAATTTGAGAAAATTAACTTATCCAAAGAGCCATTTGGCATGTAATCATACACTAGAGCATGTTTTGAGGCAGTAACACAAAATCCCACTAACCGAACCACGTTCACATGGTGTATTCTTCCAATAGTTACGACTTCATTGATGAACTCTTGCCCATTAGCTTTTGATTTGTTCAGCATCTTGACAGCAACTGCCCCTCCACTGCACAATTTGCCTTTGTAAACCAATCCATAGCCTCCTTCACCTAGTTTCTCCTCAAAATTTTTTGTCATTGTCTTAATTTCTTTGTATGAGTACCTAATGGGCATGAGGCTGTTGTTTGTTTGTAGGAAATCTTCTATTGTATCATACCTCGATAAATGCCTCGGACGACACCGATGAAGGAGGAAAGCAAACAAGAGGATAATGCCAATGACTTTTATTGCTGCAATAAACACAACTGAAATAGTAGAAGAGAAAAACAATGATTGACTGCCTGTTAGTGTATGTCCAATAGACAGAGTTTTCAACTATAAATCAGATGCCTTACCCGAAACTATGCCACCAATATCAAAGTAATCTGCTTATAAAAGAAAAGTTAAAGGATTATAATGGAAATATTGAAATAGAAAGAATCTGATTGATTAAAGAATGGTTTTTCTGTAAATCAAAGAAATCAGATTACTCACGTTCATATCCATATGGGCCGATAACATGTCGGTAGACGAATCTGTAGATATCTACCGATTTGAGAGCCACATCGTCTAAGTACAAAAGTCAACGTCAATGTCCAATTGGATGCTTGAAAATCAACTTTTATTAGTTGCAGCTATTCCACACTCATGTGCGTACAAGTTTCAAGTTATTTTCTTAAGGAGTAGTTAACTTTAATTAAAAATCACAGATAAAATAAGAATTGTCTCGTAATCGTCCGGAAGTGTTTAATTTTTGTGTTGTTATCAGTGACACAAGTGAGAGTAGGTCCTTAATACGCGGGCCACTTTGGGGTGCTGCTCCCACCAATTTTGACTATGAAGCATTCAGCATAATTACTAATTTACTAAATCAATAAAATGCGAGAATGACATGAGCAGAGATCCACCTCGCTGATGGAAATACTGTTTTTTCATTCTTGATTTTTTTATTGCAAATATTCAAAATTGTTCACACCTTTCTAGATTCGCGATTATTTACAGATATTTTATAGAATTTTGCTTTAATTTCTAATTTTTTCCTGTCAAATTTTTTTTTAAACTCTAGAGTCCCGCCTCCACCTGTTCCTTTTCTTTAAACTTATCTTTGATTGATTGTTACGTACATGGTATTATTAATTTGTCGAGAGAGAATTATTACTTTTTAATCATGTGTCTCATAGTACGATAAGATATATCAATTTTATACTTTCACATGTAGCACTATTTTATAGGTGTAATCTCTGAACTTTTTTTTTTCTTCTTGCCCACAAAAGTACTCCATTTATTTGTTCAATCAATTTATGTTTACAACAGTCATTTGTAGTATTAAAAATTAAAACTTTTACTTCTTAATTAACATTTTAAGTATAAAAAGCTACACATTTTATACCCTAAAACTACTTAAACTTGACGTATTTATAACTAAATATGCCCCCCCCCCCCCCGGCTTTCTCCTGCGAAATCCTGACTCTGCCACTACTTATCATCAACATTTTCTTTGGAAAGAGGATCAGCCATTGATTAGTTTAACTTTCATCCGTTTTTGCGCTTGCTTCCCAGAATCGTAGTTTAGCCATTGCAGTTTTAGCCATTACGCATGAGTCCCTTGTTTGTTTGTAGAAACTCTTCTACTGCATCTACAAATGCCTTCAGTTCCATCTAAAGATTAGAAAAGCAAATAAAAGTACACCACCAATGGCTCTTCTTGCTGTAATGATTGCTTCAAAGAGTCAGATCGATACAACCCCCCATATGAGTTCAAAGCCATTTGCCAGCGAATTATGGATTTCTTGAAATGAGATGTCCGCCGTTATGCTGGGGAGACACAGCAGCTCTAAGGGAACTATTTTAAGAATGGTGCAGGAATCATCAATATCTGATGCCACTGGATTTTTACCAACAATAATAGCATAGCTGTAACTAAATCCCACTTGAGAAGATGAGTTGTGATTGTCAGAATACTGGTTTTGAGTGATATCACAGGAAGACGGGAGATTTGGAATTCACGGGACTTTTACAGCTCAAAAAGATCAATCCATTTGGTGTCCTGATTAAAAAAAAAAAAAGATGGCACTTCATATTGAAAGGCACTTGAATTCTAGCAAGAGGATGGGGTGTGAATATGATCACAGGTTCTTTTTATTTAAGACAAGGGAGACTAAAACTACCAAAATCTGCACTCGTAACATATTAATAACCGAGTAATTGATTAAGTATATATGTAGATACCAAAATCTGCACTTCTGTTTTTGAGTGAAGTCTCGTGACTTTGTATTTGGATGGTTTAGTTCATGATCAGAAGAAGAGTCGAAGACTCGTGGGGGTGGACTTGACTAGTTGGCCTTTCATGGTCAATTATATTTAGGATGAATTATTTATAACCGCCCTTTGATTTTACATAATGCTAGATGACCTCCTAAGATTTCAAAATAGCTACATAACCTCCTATAGTTTTATGTAAATTGAAAATGGACGAAATACACAATCAGTTATGACGTAACCCCTTATGATTTGTATAAATATCTATTTTATCTCTCTGCAATTTTTAGATTTATCCACGTGATCCCCTTATACTTTTATACAAAATAGTTAAGCCATCGATTGATTTAATATTTAAGTAAAGGTATTATTGGTATTTCAATTAAAGACACTGCAAAGGTTGTTTTTCGTCAAATTTTCACTTTTATGTAAAACTATAGGGAGGTGAAGTGGGCATTTTGAAACGTCATGAGAAACATATGACAATAGATGAAATCACAAGGGGTTAAATGTAATTTACCCATATGTTCATCGAATCTCTGCTGTTACGTCATGAGAAACATGTGACAATAGATGAAATCACAAGGGGTTAAATATAATTTACCCATATGTTCATCGAATCTCTGCCGTTGCAAGAGGAGCCACATACTTCAATTAGCTGCTCAACATGGCCCAGCTCTAGGCTGCTTGATAAATGGCGAAGGATCAACTAAAGAGCTTTGGCCACAGAGCAGGAACTTGTTTCAACACGGTTCATCATATTTGTGCTTACCTTGAAACCAATGGTGCAATTTCTTGGATCTAATTTGGCCGTTTGACCATTGGAGCAATTTCTTGGATCATTGAAAATCAAATTATATGACGTGACAATGGCTATGATGTTAATAAGGGCATTGTTCTAGTAGTAAAATATGTTGAAGAAATTATGGATCTAAGGCATTCAAGGCTCGAGTCTCCTTAATTAGTCCTTTGACTTTAGCTTTGAAGAAGCTGGTTAAAGTATTATAATCAATTTTTGTAAATCAATTCCAATTACCAAGTCAAAGGCTCCCCTAATCAGTCATAGTTATAAATTCAAAAAAAAATTGGGGGGGGGGGGGTTTCTAATCAACAGAAACTGTTGTGTACGTTTACTTCCAAATGCTAGCTTGATAACAACCAGAAACTACCGTTTCACTGTTTACTTTGTGACGTATTCTATTATTCTAGAGGAGATGAAGTAAGTGCATAAAAAAAATTCGTCAAAGTAGAACACGAGCTCAGGTCAGTCAATGGTCGACTGTTGCAATTTCTCGCAGTACTGCCTTTCTGCTTTTTTCTCCATACCCCACCATTAGGTGTCATTCTCAAAGCAATTCCTGATAGATTCAAAACACAACTCATGCTACAGCTCAGGCAGGCGTGGACTTGGCTCCAAACCATTTATCTATACAGAGAAAACTGCTCTTCCATCAAACCTGAAAACTCATTAGAAGAACAAGAAAAAAAAATTGAAATCTGGAGATTGATCATAGTGGCCATTAGCTTTTCTTCTCTACTAAGCCCTGCAATCTTTGCGGACAACGTCTCAATTGCACCTGCAGCAGCACCACCGGACGATGTCTGTGCAGCGAAAAATGTAGCCCCGAAGGTCCGGCCGTAAGATTCCCATTTCTGGTAAGAGGAAAGCAGCGTGAAGAGTGTGGCTACAATAATCCAGGGTACAATCTTTATTGTGACAACGGAAACCATACCTTACTTGAGTTTCCCCCTTCATCAATGAAATTTGTGGTCAAGAGCATCAACTATAAGACTCAAATGATCCAAGTCCGGTTTGCTGAAGGTTGCCAACTCAAGTATCTGAGAAATCTTAATTTGTCTTCTACCACGTTTCAGTTTTCTGCACTAGACTACCTGGCAGTTCGATATACTTTGTTCAATTGCTCATTGGCAAATGGTGATAGTTGGTCTTCTGATGATGGATATGACTTTCGTTGTCTAGACACCCCTGGATACAAGGTGCGTGCAACGCCTTCTGATACTGAAATTCGGTTTTTGTCTGTGGAATTATGCACAAAGATGTATGACACAAATTTGGTTTCGCGGGAACTATTTCGAATGCAAGACTCAATGAACCTGGCCTGGTCCTTGTCTGCATGCCAAAAATGTGAGGTACAAGAAGGTGGAATTTGCAGATGGAAGAATGGAACTAACAATAAATTTGACTGCTTTGGAGGAAAGAAGCTCGACTCTGGTATGTACCATTTACTGCTCCTTCCTGGTCCATTTCTTGATGTTTCTCATCGAAGTACTTCAGATAGACTAATTGACCAAAGATTCAGACCACAAACAGAATGAGAGATATTTGATTGTCTAGAAGAAGTTTTTAGATGAATCTACACCAGAAATTTGAACGTTTACATCTTGAAAAGGATAAATTTAAAGAAAGGTCTCATGTAGCTATACCCTTCCCTGTCTTCTGAACTCACCCAATTTGGTGACTGTGTATTGATAAAATGGACCAAGAGCACGAACAATACTAGGAACATATGTAAGAGGCCACAATAAAAAGAAAGAAAGAAAGAAGAGAGAGAAATTCACATTTCTAATTAACCTTGACTGTTGTACATAGATGTCTTTTTGACATTTGCTAGTATGTTACAGGTGTATCGAAGAAATTACTCATTTCAGGTGAGAACCTTGCTGTACATTTTTCTCAGTTAATTTTTCTAGTATAGAGAAAAGAAAAAGTAAAATTGACATGTGCCTTTAACAACAGGTCCAATCGTGGGGTGTTTCTTTCTCATATTAGCAACAAGCGCCCTTTTTTTTGGTTGCCCGCCCGGTATCCGAAGCATTGCCCCGACTAATCCGGACCCGACCCGCGTCGCGCACCTGGCTATGGTAGGTGAGTCTCCCAACAGGGGTGTCTGCGTACACTAGGACTCGAACACGAGACCTACTTAAGCGAATCCGAGCCGCTTACCACTCGGACCAACCCCTGTTGGTAACAAGCGCCCTTTACAATGTCTATAAAACAAAGAAAATGGACAGAGAAAATCAGAAGAGAATCAGAACATTTTTGGAGGACTACGCTGCCATGAAGCCTACTCGATATTCCTATGCTGATATCAAGAGGATCACAAATGACTTCAAGGATAAATTAGGTGAAGGAGGCTATGGAAATGTGTTCAAAGGCAAAATTTCAAATGAAATATTTGTTGCCGTGAAGCTGCTGCACAATTCCACAGGAAATGGGGAAGAGTTTATCAATGAAGTAGGAACAATGGGCACAATCCACCATGTAAATGTTGTCCGCTTGGTAGGCTTCTGTGCTGATGGATTCAAAAGAGCTCTTGTTTATGAATTTTTGCCAAACGGTTCTCTGGACAAGTTCATATTTCCGGAAGGTCAAGAGCATCATAACCTTGGAATGGAGAGGTTACAAAACATTGCATTTGGCATTGCGCGAGGTATCGAGTACCTTCACCAAGGATGTGAACAGAGGATCCTCCATTTCGATATCAAACCACATAACATCTTGCTTGACAACAACTTTAACCCAAAAATATCTGATTTTGGGTTAGCCAAGCTTTGTGAAAAGGGAAGAAGTGCAGTTTCAATGACTGCTGCGAGAGGAACCATGGGCTACATTGCCCCTGTAGTCTTCTCAAGGCACTTTGGCAATGTGTCTTACAAATCAGATATCTATAGTTTTGGGATGCTGTTGCTTGAAATGGTTGGACGACGGAAGAACATTGATGCCAACGTGCAAAATGTTAGCCAAGAGTACTATCCTGAATGGGTTTACGGACGGTTGGTTCAAGGGGAAGACTTGAGAATCCAAGTTGAGGAAGATGGAGAGGATGTCATTGCCAAAAAATTGGCAATTGTGGGACTTTGGTGCATTCAGTGGAACCCTGTGGATCGTCCTTCAATAACCTTCGTTCTTCATATGCTTGAAGGAAATGGAGAAAGTCCGAGTCTTCCACCAAGTCCTTTTACCTCAACAGATCCCATGAATCCAAGCAATCCAAGCTTGCATAGAAGACATTTGGCTTCAGGATTGGCAGTGATCTCTAAGTTAGAATAAGATGCTAGATGTTAATTTCAACTGAAAGTCTTGTGTATTAATAGCTTCCAATGTTCTGCAAATACAAGAAACAAAAAGAAGAAATTGATGAATAAAGTAGAGGTAATCAAATGATATTTTTTGCATATGTACTGTATTATGGCTGATGGTTAAACTATTATTGACTCTGATGGTTAAACTACCCCTACTTACGTGGGATTGACAGGTTGTCGATGCTTGTACAATAATAAAAATAAATATAATTGTCAATTAAAAATAACCAAAACCCGATTCCAAGTACTGGAGTAGGGACTCTAGATGTGCAATGGGTTACTTGATTCATCCTATTCCCGAAGAGTTTGCTTGATCCGATATATCCGAATAGGATGACTTTTTTCACAAATAATTATGAATTTGTAGATAGGGCAAGTATGGTTAAACTATTATTGATTCTGATGGTTAAACTACCCCTACTTACGTGGGATTGACAGGTTGCCGATGCCTGTACAATAATAAAAATAAACCTAATTGTCAATTAAAAATAACCAAAACCCGATTCCAAGTACTGGAGCAGGGACTCTAGATGTGCAATGGGTTACTTGATTCATCATATTCCCGAAGAGTTTGCTTGATCCGATATACCCGAATAGGATGACTTTTTTCACAAATAATTATGAATTTGTAGATAGGGCAAGTATGGTTGTATCGTCAGGGATTGGGGATATTTGTCTCTTTAGAAATCCAAAGTAACATAGGGGGTGTTTTTTTTATAAAGGGTGACAATTAAAACAATTCAACTAAGAATAAAATATCCAACTAAAAATTAAATGACAATTCACTAAATCAAGGTAATAATAATTAAAGATCTATCCAAGAAATAACTTTAACAATGGTTCACCTAATTGGTCATCGATGCACAAGCAATTCCAATTATTTATTAATAAATAGGTTATAACTGCCAAACAAGCGATGATAATTAACCCCTTCTTACTGTGTCGGTGATTAAGGTACGCCCGTTAATCACTGCTCTAATTGAGAAATAATCCTAGATACGCCCATAAGATTTAATTCCCCAATTGCCTTACGTGTTAGAGGAGCCCTATTCTAACCAAATAACGCACTACCAGGGTTATTTCAGATTAGCCCGCGTATCTCCCTGACACAAATCTAATCGTGCCAGTTGTCACTATTTCAAGGCAATTAAATAATTACGGATTTAAATGCCCTACTTGACAATAGATTACCAAATTAACTAATTATCCGAATTCAAAACAATCAATTAATTAAATAATCATAAGTATTGCAATCAAGAAATATGCGAATACCAATAAATAAAGGAAATGATAAAATTAAATCGATCTCATAATTTTAGGTGAATTAAAACCTCCATTATTTCTTGACTAGAGCGAGGAGATTAGTTAATATTTGGTTCGAAAAACCCATACAAAATTGAAGCAAAAGTCGCGGCCATTGACTCCGAGAATTGGGACAATTCGATTTTCGTTCCAAACAAGAAGAAAAGCAAGCTATAGAAAGTGGTTAATCATTCACGTCGTCTGACATCCGAAGAAAGAAGAAGAAACTGCTAAAAGCTAATAGGAGGGAAAGTCAAACTTCTACCAATTTTTCTCCTGACATGCGTGGAGAATAACTACTAAGAAAACAACGAAAGTGGAAAAGTCAAAAGCAAAGCTCAAAGGATAGTGCTCATTCTCTGTTCCTAATTCTCATTTTCTATCTAATGCCCAGCTATTCTGCGGCGGCCCCAAAGGAATAGAAGCCTCTAGCCCGTGCTTTCGTCCTCAGCAATTACCGATGGGCCCAAGTTTTTCCGTTGCCAACAATGCCCCTAAGCTAAGCTCCGTGACTTGGACTCCTTTTCTATCAAATTGACACTTATTATCATATTTTCGTTCTACTCTCTAAAATAAATATAAAATACTAAAAATGAGTAGAATCTAACAATTAATTCACATCGAATCAGATAATAGAGAAAATTAATAATAAAATAAATGATAAAATTATATCATATCAGGATAATAGTTGTTACTAAATTCCATGATGCCTCTTAAACAGTTGAATTCTTCAACACAAGGCAAAACCATGGCTTAAATAACTGAACCATAAGAAAGAAGGAACACATGATTATTTGAAAAGTCTATCAGTTAGATCATTGAGCATTCAACAGCAATTATCCTGGCAGGCAGCATCCAGGAAATGTCTTATTGGGCCCATTGATGAAAAGGAAAGACACGGTTCAAAGAAACAAGGCTACAAGTCTTTGTTAAACTAACAATTTGGCCAGTAACACCCACATGTCTGTATTGCTCAGTGGATACAAATTATTGGAGCTATATTTACATATGAATGCATCTCTGAAGGTGCTGACTTTCAGTTTTACTGGTACCAAATGAGTTTTCAATTTGTTTTTTCAACTGTTACTAGGTGGCAGATTGGCAGATTTAAGAGTTTGAAAAACAAATCTGAAATACAAAGCTTCCACTAAAAGTTAGGAGTACTTCTTAGTCATCCATCTGCTCTATTTCTAAAGCAATAGAGCTACACAGCCTTACTGTTGACTCATCAGAAGAGCTAATATTAATGCTTCCTTGCATGGATATGGGTGAATCCGGAGGGTAAAACAACGGTCTGTGAGGCAACTTTAGGCCACTAAGATCACCTTCAAGCATTTCTAAGACTTCTCGCATTGAAGGACGATCCTCAGGTGTCATTTGTGTGCACCATAATGCAATCAAAATCAATCTTCTACTAATTGATTTTTCTTCTTCAGTTGCATGATCTCCAATTTCCAATTCCTCCCCTCGATCAAATTTATCGTATATCCAGGACGGGAAGTATATTTGACTTGAATGTTCTACATGTCCATTACCATTTCTCCTCCTTCCTGCCATCTCCATTAGCAACATTCCATAGCTGTAAACGTCTGCCTTGTCTGAGACTCTTCCAATCTTTTTGTAGAACAATTCCGGAGCCATGTAACCTAAAGTTCCCCTCGCAGCAGTAAGAGTTGCAATACTCTTTTGCATCGGGTAAAGTTTTGCAAGTCCAAAGTCTGAAACTTTTGGAACAAAGTTCTCATCAAGTAAGACATTATGCGGTTTAATATCAAAATGCAGAATTTGCATATCACACCCCTGATGCAAGTATTCAATGCCACGAGCAACCCCCTTTGCAATCTCACAAACTTGTTTCCAACTCAATGGAGAACCATTTTGACAATTTGAGAAAATTAACTTATCCAGAGAGCCATTTGGCATGTAATCATACACTAGAGCATGTTTTGAGGCAGTAACACAAAATCCCACTAACCGAACCACGTTCACATGGTGTATTCTTCCAATAGTTGCAACTTCATTGATGAACTCTTGTCCATTAGCTTTTGATTTGTTCAGCATCTTGACAGCAACTGCACCTCCACTGCGCAATTTGCCTTTGTAAACCAAACCATAGCCTCCTTCACCTAGTTTCTCCTCAAAATTTTTTGTCATTGTCTTAATTTCTTTGTATGAGTACCTAATGGGCATGAGGCTGTTGTTTGCTTGTAGGAAATCTTCTATTGTATCATACCTCGATAAATGCCTCCGACGACACCGATAAAGGAGGAAAGCAAAGAAGAGGATAATGCCAATGATGTGTTTTGCTGCAATAAGCACAACTGGAATAGAAGAACAAAACAATGATTGACTGACTTCTAGTATATTCCAATAGACAGAGTTTTCAACTATAAATCAGATGCCTTACCCGAAACTATGGCACCAATATCAAAGTAATCTGCTTATAAAAGAAAAGTAAAGGATTATAATGGAAATATTGAAATAGAAAGAATCTGATTGATTAAAGAATGGGTTTTCTGTAAATCAAAGAAATCAGATTACTCACATTCATTTCCATATGGATATGGGCCGAAGACATGTCGGTAGACGAATCTGTAGGTTTCTACCGAGTTGAGAGCCACATAGCCTAAGTACAAAAGTCAACGTCAATGTCCAATTTGGTTGTTCTATAATTTAAAAAAAAAAAAAGAAAGAAAGAAAGAAAGATGTTAATAAATCTTCAAATCAGTGTACTTACAAAAAAGAGATCTCCTCCTGTGCTCGAAGAGTGGGAGCCAACTGATCTCAAGGCCATTAGACAGAAGATTGTGGATGTCTTCAAACGAAATATCTCCTGCTGTTTCTTTAGGGAGACACCGCAGGTCTACAGGAAGTATCTTATAGACAGTGCACGACTCTTCAATATCAGATGCCACCACATTTTTGCCCACCACAACATAGCTGTAATAATTGGACGGAGCTTTCATTTCTGAAAAATGATTTGCAGTGATATTACAAGAAGCAGTGTCTACATAAAGAGGATATTTCGATTTCACCGGATTTTTACAGCTCACAAAGACCAACGAACCAGCATCGGGAACTGTCTCCACAGAAAAGTAGTAGTCGTTGTATGGATTTTGATGGTAGTCGTCTTTTGGACTTAATGGGTGGACTGGCAGAGTAGAACAGTTGTTCTTTTGCACCCCAGGATCAAATATACGAAGTGTCTGTTGCTCATAATCAATACTGTTTAGCTCCACAGAAAAGTTATACTGCTGTATCCCCGCATCGGAACCAACAGTCAGGGATAGAACAGTGCGATTATTTTCACAAGAGAATTCAATAACATAAGGTTCAGGGCACAAATCGGGATCATCACCACTAAATTGAAACGGGCACTTTAAATTGAGGTCGGTGCCCCCGCAAGTGGATGGGCTACGGTCACTGCTGGTGTCTTTGGAATGGTAAAAACTACCATATCTCCGACAATTTTCATCAAAATAACCATATTTGATATCCAGCAGCCAGCCGTAAATCAAGATTAGAGACAACAAAACTACCAAAATGTGAAGTTGAAGCATACTTCTTAAACACACCGACTGAGTGAATTGAAAAAAAAGATGCCGGATATATTTAGGAAACGGAGAAGAGGGAGAAATGACGTCGTAATTTACGCTAAATGAAATTTGGTTGAAATTAGAGGAGAAGGGCGGGTGGCGGTGGTGGTGATTGTGGGTGAGAGAGATATTTTAAAGTGGAGGTGAGTTTTGGGGTGGGGGGAACCGGTTGGGTAGGTGAAAGTCAAGGGAGGG